CTACACTTAATATAAGGTCAGTTAGCTATAATCCATTTGACTAAAGATGAATTCAAGTTTGTTGCTTAAATCTTCTTTGAACTCAGTTAAATATTCTTGACGTAAGCTTGAGCTGAGCAAAACTAACAGCTTTGACTGTCAGACACGCTCATTTGCCCATTATTTACAGGGTATATAGCAAACAGGGACAACGACAACGGCTTCGATGAGCTTTCTACAAGCAACGCTGCTGACGATGTCGATGTCGATGACGATGACGCGATCGCCAGTCGCGATAGCCGCAATTATTTTCGTCATAAGTCAGCCAATGTGGCGACCACGTTGCACTCGGCTCAGTTTCTGCCCCGCTGCCGCTGGCCCCGCAGCCGCTTAAGCTGCTGCTGCTGCTGCATGTTGTTGTTTTGTGACTCGGCTTGGCTGCTGCCGCCGCCGACGCTGCTGTTGTTGTGGTTGTTGTTGTGCTGGTTTTGTTATTTTTTTTGTATTTCGTTTTGTTGTTTAATTTTATTTTTTTATTTTGCGCACCACACAAGCTTCCAAATAAGGGACGGCACATGTGAACTGAGGAAGCTATAACTAGCGCTGCGAGCTACGCAAATCTGTGGGCTTTGCACTTTCGCATAGATTTCAATGGAAATCAACGCATGCTGACAAACTGCAGCCTCGCGGATTGATCCAAGCAGCGCAAAATGGGTTCAGTTGTGCCAGGTGGCGGCAATTGTGTCTCTCCAATGGCGACCAGGAGTCGAATTCGCGTCGAAGTTGACTTCGAGTCGCGGCGCGTCGCGTCGCGTCGCGTCGTGCAACATATGGCAGCGATGACAACGCATGTTAACAGCTTTTTAAAGGCAATTGCACAACAACAACAACAACAACTGCAACAGCAGCCACACACGCTTCTCGCTTTGCCACAATTCCCAGGCCCAAGTGGCAGATAAGCCATCGGAAGCACCAAAAAAAATATATATAAGGCAGACGACTATAGTTTTTTTTTGTTTTGTTAGTTTTTTGGCTACTTGCAACTTGAAACCTGTGACAGGAAATCTCACGCGTGCCACAATTGAGCAGCGGACGCGTTGTTGATTATCCAAAAATGCGGTCTGGCGTGCCTTTGAATTAAGGTATCGATTTAGCCGGGACTGCCAGCCAGGCAAAAGACCAAGCCAAAGTGCAACGCAATGCGGCGCGTCACTCATTTTCATTCATTGTGGCGCGCGCTCATTGTTGGTGTGAAATTTAGCACAGCAGCAGCAGCAGCAGCAGCAGCAGCAACAACAACACCACTAACAACAGCAACAGCAGTAGCTGCAGCATGTGGCAACTTGAACAAGTGGCTGCGGTTGCAATGAATCCGCATAACAGACATACAACCAAATGGACAAATGTGCAATTGGACAGACCTGGGGCAGAGCTCTTGCTGCTGCTGCAGTTGTTGCTGCAGCAAATATTTCTTGAGTCGCCGTTGCAGCAGCAAGGCACGAAAAATACTTTTTAAATGCAGCGAAGCGTCAAACGCAACGCTTTCTACCCTCTGCCAGCAACCAAGGATCAAGTGTTATAAATGTTAATTCACAAATAATTGCAGGCAGTGCCTGCCTGGCATCCACATCCACACGCGCAACATTATGCAAAGTTTTTGCATGGATTGCTTAATCGGCGCCAATCACACGATGATGAGCTCGATGCCACAAAAAACTAAGGTTGGGTTCGCCGTCCCAGCCTCTGTCATCATCATCGTCTAGACCAAGCACAAGATTTGCACGAGTCGTCGTCGCCGTCGTCGAGGCGGCGACGGCCAAGAACTTTATCAAAATCTGTGCAGAAGCATAAAGTTTAATTGAAAATTTATGGCACTTTCATCAACTGGAAGAGCTTACGATTTATAGAGTATTATGACCAGCTGATGACGTTCGTTTCGCATAGAAGCACACAAGTCTTGTGTCTAATGGAATACACTGAATATTCTATGGCTAGTAATTCACATAATACTCAAAAACAAAGAATTGCTGAATTTGATAAAAGAATTTTCGGTTTGCAGGTTTCATTTAACTTATAGTTATGAAAATTTGAGATTTATTAAGATTGTGGACTTATAATGGGGTGTGTTTGGACGTACTTTTAAATTCAATTCAGGAAAACCTTAATTAATTATTTCTTGTTGTTATCTAATAGACCATTGCATTCGTCCTTCAGTATTTCATTAGAACAACTTTTCGTTTAATAAATCATATATTATTAAATATACATATATTCATTCAAACACAACTTTTAAAATTTGGTTTCAAGATATCCATTAAAAATTGGAAGCTATATTAAACTGATCTTTCTATCATATAGAAATAACATACGAGTGGAACCCCCAGAAAGTACAATTTCTTTTCTATGCCACGAACCCTTAGATAATAAAATGCTTTCATTCTATACCACCTTTCGTTTTGTAAATCCCCACATAGAGTACATGTTGAGCTGAACAACAACTTGATTGCCATCATACTCTAACATTTATCTTATTCTTGTTGTCAAATGAAGAACTCCTCTCACCGTTTTGCACATGTTTACAAAACGAATTGAGACAAGTTAACGACGCGTTGGTCTATTGTACGGGTATTAGCGGCAGTGACAAAACATCTTCGGTAATAAATTCTAAGCGCACCAACGCCGCACACTTGTGCCATCCATTTCATTATATAATGAAGCACGCGGACATCCCACACAGAGCCAATCCGAGCCGAGCTGCTGCTGCCCACAGTTTCCCAGTTGCCAGCCGCCAGTTGGCAGTTGGCAGTACCCAGCACCCGAGTACCCGGTGCCCGGGCAACAGCAACAATAAAACATCACCAGTTAAAAGAGCTCAGTTCAGCTTGGCTCATTTCCTGCCCACAATCGAAATGAAATGTTGAAATCAACACAATTTTTATATATATTGTAGCTAGAGCAGAGCGTTCAGAGAATGCTTTGAAGCTGTTAGAAAAAAAATGCAATTAACTTAAGTGAATTGTATCAAAATAGATACCAAAACAAACTTTGAAAAAAACTGCTGAAATGTTTACGCCTATGTATTTTTCTATAAAAATGTTTCAGCCATTATATTGGGCATTTATAGCTTAAAACCGAAAACGTAAACCTTAAAAATCTTAAGTTCTAAGCCGAAGAGCATTCCAAGCATTTTATAAACACCTGTAGAGGATATTATAATTTCGTCATGACATGAAAAGGAGACATTTCCGACCCCATAAAGTGTATATATTCTAGATAAGCATCAACAGCCGAGTTGATTTAATTGAGTTTCTATGCCAATAAGTCTCTCAGTTTAAAGCTATCGTCTTAGAGGTCTGTCTCTCTGTTGCAGTACATATGACAAAGCCGGTCGGATCGAATCACTATATCATATAACTGACATAGAAACGATCGGTCGAAAATTACCTTTTTTCATACTAAGATAACTTGACCAAACCCGGGAATAATTAGTTCACTACGATCCTCATATAGTATATGCAAAGCTTTACAACATCTGGCGACTTATGAAGTAAGTGAAAAAGTAGGTTCTTATGTAGTGCAATAGTCTGTTTTCCACGATATTTTCATCAAACTCTGCATTTACGAGCAGCACTATTCTGACATATCTCTAAAAGGGAAATGTCTACAAGGAAATTAAATCTTCTGCATGACAAGATAGTCCTTACATTCTCTTTTTTTTCATCCTATCTTAAACAGAACAGTTGGCAGTAGGTTTGTTGCATTCAATATTATTAGTAGTTTAATTCGATATCTGGTTTGATTTACTCAATATAAATCAATCATAGCTTCCGTCTATATATCAGAGTTTGTCCTGACCGACTGAAAATGGAAAGGAAAAAGAAATAGAATCTGAAATATGTACTGCAGCTTCCTTTAGTGGTAATAGAAACTATGATTTCCAAGTGGGGAAAATCGGTGTTCAAAGCTAATATGAAAAACAATGTTTAGGGTTCCAACTAACAAAAGAGAGGTGGCTGGCTCAACTCCAGAAGCAAGCGAAGGCAGCTATGAATTCGTCAATAACACAAACAAATGTCCTGCTATTTGCCTTTTCAACAACTCCTAATTTTAACATAAATAGATATTTTCTACAAGCTTAGAGGCAATTTACATTTTTTTCTTTGCATATCTATAACTTTATCTGAACAATCTCCGAAACTACGATATAAAAGCTGGAAATGATGCGATGTGGAAATAAACAGACATTGAAGAGATTGCCGGCTTGCATCAAGAGAAAACATCTTAATAAATCTAATCTATGAAAGAAGCCACTCCAAAAAAAAAAAGAAACAAAAACTAATTCTCAGCCATAAAATGCGCAGTGAAGCGAGGCTAAAAGAAAAAACCTACGTAAGCGGCTGTCTCTAAGTTGCCGCCGTTGTCGCCGCCTCTGCCACGCTTCAGTGGCAGAGCTTTGGGCGTGGCGGACAGCGCATGTTGCCACATGGCGCTAGCAAAAGGCAGACGGGCACGCCTGGGGGGTAAGGTCGTTGAGATTTCATAGTGGATAGCAAAGAATTTTGATTAACTTGGAAAATCATTGGAGTAAGTCAGACAAGGGAGCGGCGGGTGTCTCTACCGAGTGTGTTGTGTGTGTGTGTGTGTATGTGTGTGTGTGTTGTGTTGTGTTGTGCACAGTTGCACAATCGCTGCTTAGACAGTTGCATACAATGTACGCATTATTTGTTTGCATTGCCAACAATAATTGCTTAACTAAATGCGCCAAAGGAGTTCTGAAAGGCACAAGCGCCTCGTTAAGGCCGCCTGGTCGCCTGGGCCAGGCTGGCGGCTGGCGGGTTTTGGCCTTTAAATAATCACAATGAAAGCAAGAGGCACACAAAACAGACGGCAGACAAGTCAAGCAAAAAAAAAAAAAACAATACACAAAAACAACAACAGCAGCAACAACAACAACATCAGCAAAAAGAAGCTCACAAATTGTCATTTCTTAAACTTTGCTTTTTTTTCTTTCTGTTTTGCAGATTGCGAAGGCGGCAGGCGGCTGCCGGCTGGCGGCAAACGGCCACAAGAAGTTGCAAGCGAGTCGCAGTTCAGGTACCTTGCTGCCTTCCAGCGGTGGCATCAACAGTTCAGCCTCAAGATGTTGCCGACGCGCACAATGTGCGGCTTTAAGAAATGCCGAATTCCAGAAGCTGCAGTACAATCAGTTGAATTAAAAAACAGCCCACAGACAGAGACAGACAGAGAGAGAGAGAGAGCCAGAGCGAGAACCAGAGCGAGAGGGTGGCAGGGTGGTAGCAAGAGGGAGATAGCTGCGAGGACAACGCGACGATATCATCGCACAGCTGCGGCCTAGGAAATTAAGAGGACATTGTGGCGGCATGTGGTCAGAACTCAACGCGCGGCGGCTTAAACACAAAATCCAGCTCCAGCTCCAGCTCCAGCTACAGCTACAGCTACAGCTACAGCCGCAGCAGCAACCGCAGCCGTCCAGCTCCATGCAGCAGACGCAGTCGCTGGTTCGGGCCACGCAAGATTCTTTGCGTTGTTGCGTTGTTGGTGGCGGCTCGCGATGGCAACCGCCACTGGCCACTGACAGAGGTCGCCCTCGTACGTAATCGGCGAGCATTGCAAATGCTTTTGTGCCGTCTGTTTCGCCTGTCGCGCTGCCTTGTGCTGCGCACGTGGCCAACTTGGTGACGCTTGGCCCCAAAAACAACAGCAGCAGCAACAGCAGCAGCCGCAACAGGGGCAGCAAATCATTGAAATGTCGTTAGAGGCTCGAGCGGCACGCGGCTGCGATAGTCAGCCGAACCGCAAAATGCTTTTAATTTCTCAAACTGATATGTACTTAGTGTGCCCAGGTTCGATCCGCAGAGGGGGCCAAGAACATGTGTGGCTGTCTGTGTGTGTGGACAAGAGCTAAGCAGTTGGAGGAGTTGCTGCGAGCAGCAGCGGAAACTTTACGCGAGGAGGTGGACTTTGGGTGTGCTACAACTTGAAATAGTTCAAGGAGTTCGCATTGTTCGAATGGGTTCCAATCTAAGCTAATTTTAGCTCAAAGGGAGTTCACATTTGATCACATGAGTTGCAGCATTACTTGAAGTATGTTCAAGTTAACAATAATTAAATTCCATTTGGAAAATTTTAAAATATTACTACTTTCTTGATTAGTAAAATTAAGAAGATTATTTCTGAATAATACTTTCCATGTGCCACTGAAAAGCCCAAAGCTATGAATATTTTTAGAAGATCAACTAGATTTATTTATTTATAAATATTTATAAAAAATTATAAGAGCAGAATTAAATTTAAAAAAAAATAACCAAAAAAACATCCATCAAAAACAAAACGATTCTATCCAAAATCAAAGTTTGAGTATTTTTAAAAACTGATTTTAAATTTTCTATAATATAATGAACCATGTTAATTTCAAAGTAGAGGGTCACGAAAAAATACAAAAATCTATCCCAAATTATTTTACAAATTGTTGTGCTTGTACAAAATAATACAGAAAATATAAAATGAAACGAACAAATTCTTGAGCTTTGGCAAAGTAAAACAGAAACTTTAAGTGATGGTTAAGAAATTTTAAAATTTTAAATAAAGTGAAAATCTATCCAAAAGAATATGTTAAAATTAAAGCCATAAAAAAACATTTAACCTAAAGCACAAACTGTACCTAAGAAAAACAAAAATGAAAGTCCAAAGGGTCACTGCACACGATCAGCAAACACTTTGAAAAGTATACTAATAAAAGCTAAAGCCAATAAACTTACAACATTTCGTATTTTGTGATTTGTATACATATAATTTCGGTGGGCGTGGGCGTTTAAGATGCGCAGGTGAGCGACCAAAGAAGGCAAACACCCGCGCAGCCAAAAGCTACGCATATTAGTTTGCTATACATAAGTATTGTATAAAGTGGCGCAAAGTTGCCCAACAACAGCAACAGCAACAGCAGCCACAACAACAATAGCAACAACAAAAACAAACAGAAAGAGCAACCCACTGCATGCGGACAATTAACCTTGGCTGGACTCGGAGTTGGCGGCAGTGTCAGAGAACGACCTACAGCAGCCCCGGGCAATAACAAGCTATGAAGTTTATCAGTCAGCTGGCTAACCAAGCAGCAGCAGTAATAATAACAAATAGTGATGACGTGCCAGCCAAATACCCTGTAGGCCAATACATCTGAAATGGGTATGCGAAATACTAAGCGAAAGTATCTTTCGAGCAAGCATAACTCGAAGAATTTAAAAGCAGATAATGCTGGCAAGGATTTACGGAAATGGAGAAGAAAATAGGATATATAGAGTCTACAAATAGAGTTGGGTCAGAAAAATTGTGAATATAGTTTCAGTTTAACTAAAATTTCGAAATTATTGCCTATTGCCTATTGCCCAAGCTAACAAATAAAATTAACAATTAAAGAGGCGAAATATAGTAGAAACCCAGAGACCTTAAGTAGGTTAAATTCGTTAGAAAATTGGTCTACGGCTCTAACAAATTGGATTTTAAGAAAAACATATCATTTTATTTTGGTAGCCAAGAACTGAAATACTTTTATAGCTAGAATCAAAAAAGCTCAACGTAAATGAGAAGACACTAAAATTAGAATAATAAAAGGAATATCATCTGGAATTGCAAATACAACTGTCACTTCTCATGGAACTTAGAACGAGTCTCTGGAATTTGTTTTTCCAGGGCATCATGTAGTCGAGCACAAGCTTAAACAGCACACCTACTTCTTTGTTGTGTTTGTTGTGACCAGAAGCGGCGTTGGTGTCACACCCACAACATTTGCGTGGTGCCTGCTGCCGTTGTGCTTGGCGTTCATTCATCGTCTCCAAGTTGGAGCTGAATGAAGCGAATGAAGCCAATGAAACGACAGCTGTTTGTTGTTGGGGCTACAGTCGAGCAGCCGAAAAGAGTGGCTCTCGGTGGCACACGTCATCGGGCCGCAAAGAGATGCGATGAAGCCTACGCGACTGGCAGCTGGCACGGCCCGGCCCGGCCTGGCCTGGCATTGAAAAAGCCGCGAGCGCGCGATTTGCATGCCAAGATCGGAGCGGGACAGCGGAGCTGGGTTAGCTAACTGCTGATGCATGACTTGACTCTTCGAGGAGCCAATTGTTGTTGATCGATTTATGAACTCGTCATGACGTCACAAGCGTCACACGCAAAGCCCACATGCAGTTATCAGCGAGTCTATTGTTCATAAGCACCCCGCTCAGTTGCCCGCAAGCCCATCGAGTGGGCACTTCACCTAGTACAAGCGGAAGCTTTTACAACGCAATGATGAAACTCAACAGATACAGATACAAACGTATATATGCAGATACAGATACAGTCAAAGCCAATGGCTAAAGATACAAATTCATTCAGCTGCTGGGCCTGCCCACTCGCCAGCTGGATAATATTTTTCTTTTTTAAAAGTTTTTTTTTTCGCGTGTAGGTTAACAAGAAACTGGCAGCTCGTGTGGCTGGTTATGTAAAGCTCTTAACCTTGCTCTTGAAAATTGAAAATTGAAAACTGTGAAACTAGTTAAAGGCCCATTTTTTGGGGGGGAAATTGTGTTCAGGATAATCTGGAGGAGGTTGCGTAATTCTATAAATTTCTTTACTTTCGTTTTTTATTAATTTATAATATTGCGCTAAATAAAATATATATATATATATATGCATTTGTATAGATACTATATTGGATTTCTAAACATATATGTCTTTCGCTTAGCCTAATAACTTGTGGTTATTTGTGTTGTGTGTCTTTTAAAAAGTATTTTGTTTTTCGTTTTTGTTTAGCTAATTGCACAAGCATTTAAAATTAATTTAACTACGAGTATTAATTAGAGAATTGCGTTTCTTTTTTGCTTTTTTGTTATGTTTTTTTTTTTGTATTTCTGTTTGACAGAAATGCAAACTGCACTAAATTAGCAAGAAATTATGATTTAAATACGCTTTAATTAATAAATTATATTAAATTGCTTGCAAATTACGTAATTTGTTTTATTTTCTATGATCTATTGTCATGCCACATAAGAATCATATGCTTTGAGCTGCTTTGTAATTTGGTTTTTATATTAAAAAATATACAATAAATATTAGTAGAGAGTTGCAGGCAGCTCAAAGGGTAAGTAAAATTTTGGACACGATTTGCTTATTGGGCGTTTTTTTAATTTTCTTTACACTTGGTTACTTTTCAAGTTTATGCATAGCAGGAAATGATGAGCTTGAAATTTGCTTAGACAAATTATTCGAATTACTTTTTTCTTTCGAAATTTCTAAAACTTTAGAAGAAGAATTTGACTGTCATTTATATTTACATTTTAAAAATTGTTTATATATTTATCATAATTAAATTCATTTAAGTTGCCAAGCATAAACTTAAGCTCAAGTTAAATTTGCCTAAAATATGATTATGCAAATTGATATATTCAGTAGCTGTGCCACATTTGATGGCTTATGCCCAGATAGCAAATCGAATTGAATGATATATAGGCCAATAAAAACAAAATAGCTAAAAGAAAAATCTAATAAACATAACTATAAATTATAAATAGCGCTAAGTTTAAGCTAAAACGATGATCATTTCTTCACACAAAACAAAAAATAATAATAGTTTGCAACTACTATATATAAATATGATTTTTTTTAGGTTCGGTTAGAGCACGCTCATCGCACTGGAGGCCGCCGGACGCCGCCTCGCTAAACATTTGCTAAACGAATTATTAAACAAACAAAAAAAAACACAGTTAAGATCATAACTAACGAAATGTAGTTTAGTTTTAATGTAGACTCTGCGCAGCAAATCTTTGTAGAGTGTTGTCTCTGTCTAGTTCTTTTAGTTCTTCTAGTTCATCTAGTTCTTTGCTAGTTCATTTTATTGCACTTATGCTTAAGGACTAACTAAAGCAGTCTCGGCTATGTGTTTTTCTTTTCTTTGCCTGTTCGGTGTGTCCCAAGTGGTGTCTGCACGGGGATTTGTCTGGTAGAAACGTTAGAGAATGATGGCACTGGGTTCGATACGGTACGATTTGATTAGGTAGCTGCAGCTGATGATATATATATAGATATATATATATATATATATGTATATATATGATAGTTATGGCTATTGGTATTGCTATGGGTATTTATATATGAGAGCTGTAGCTTTGCTATGGCACAGTCGCCTTTAAGTAAGAGTTTTGACTAGTATAAACAAAATATGTTTAAAATGAGCTGCCACGCCCACTACGCTAAACAACAAAACGAGCGGCGAGATCGTCAATTGGCCCAATCACCACAACCCATTACATTTGCAGTGACAATTCATGGCCAAATGCTGCACTTTGGATCTGCTAATGTTAAACTTGCAATGCTGCCTATACACACACACACACACACGCACACGCACATACACACACACGCACCCAACTATACCTAATTGTAGGCCCAAGTATAGCTATCTAGAGGAGCAGGGGCGTGGCCCTAGCGCTGGGCATGCGTATGGGACATGTGCGAGTGTGTGGAGTGCGGCGGTGGCACATGCGGCACATGCGCATGGTGCGCATGTCCGCCGTAGGCCTGGGCATGCGACAGGGGCGAGGCCTGGCCGCCGCTGTAGCCGGACTGCATGAGGCTCTGCTCCAGGCTGTAGTGCGAGGGCGGCGCCTGGGGGTGTGCGAGATGAGCGTGCCCGTGATGGCCGTAAATCAATTGTCTTACTTTGGAGTCCTCGTCGGCGATGTTGTAGCTCAGCTCCGTCTCCTCGAAGCCCGTCGCGGACATGCGCTGATCTCCGCCGCCAACGCTCGGCGGATCCGGCGAATTGAGGCACGTCTGTATCAGCTGTTTGCCCGCCTCCGACGTTATCATCGGCTGCAGCTTGCGCGTGGCAAATGTGTAGACGTGACCCGTCTCGCTGGCGACCAGCAGCATCACCTGGGTACCAGTCAGCGTCGACAGCTCGTAGGCCTGCACGGGCGTGAAGAGAGAGAGAGAGAGAGAGAGAAGAGGAAATGTGGTTAAAATTGTGTTTACTACACGTAGTCTGCCCCTTAGCTAAAAGCGGCACATAAATTTTCAGTTAAACTATGCGATTATGTTGCAGCGATAACAGATCAGGCCAAATGCTGCTGCAGCTACCAAATTCTTGGAGCTGGCCGCGTGAGACCAAATAAAAAAGTGTTATATTCTGGCAAAAATAATTACGACTATTAAATGGCAAATGTACTTAATTAATGTTTAACTAACTAATCTTACTTACTATAAAGATAGGCAAATATACGTGGCATACTTGTCAGCAATCAAAAAAGACTGATATACTCTTTTAAAAGATACTCATAGATCGAATTAGATGAGAGAACGATATTCGACTATATTATTTGAATAAGGTTTAATTACTTTTGAGAATAATATATATTTGATAAATATGTTCTCTCCTGTACTCAAAGGTTACTTGCGTACAAATATTATTAAATTTGTTTATTTTGTTTTAATTCCATAAAAAAAAATAATGTTCTTTGAAGTTTAGAAACTTTTACACAAAAGCCCAGACCGGCGAACCTAAATTGTCGGTGGTTCGGCTTGCAGTTCGAACCAACTTTTTGGGTTTAGATTCGGTTTGTGAACCCGATAAATCACATCCTGAGGGATAGAGATTTTTTTTACATTTACAAAATGCAAATGCAATAAATATGGTTGAGACCAAAGTTATTTATATGCTTTGGGGCCGAGTCTTCCTTAATCGTGTATTTTAATCAACTAAGCCATTTGATTTATTCGCCTATTTATTTT